GTATAATTATTAAATAGGGGGATAAAATTCTGCTGGACACGTATCTCTTCCTAAAACGCAGGGGAGGAGATGTCAGCTCAGCTAAAGGAGGCAAGATGTCAAGTGGTATCTTTTTCAAATAAAACTTTTGTAGAGGCAACGTCTTGCTATGTTGCCAAGCTAGTCTTGAACTCCTGGGCTCAAGTGATCGTCCCCCCTCAGCCTTCCAAAGTGCTGGTATTACAGGCATGAGCCACCGCACCCGGCCAGGAATGTCATTCTTTGTAATGAATGGTGGCTGCACACCTTCTGTGACAGGCACTGTCCCACTGGGCACTGAGGATTCTGTGGCAACCGAGATGATGGGAGAGTGAGGGATGAGGGAGACCGCGGGTCTAAGACGGTCCCCGTGGCTCTGCTCGGGGCACCCGAAGGGCAGTCAGAGAAGAGGCCAGGTTGGCGAGAGAGGACCGTGAGCTTGCTCTTTGGCCTCCAGGACGGGGCACGGTCGGCGAGGGCACTCCAGGCAGAGGCGACTGGCTTTCTGGGGACTCGACTGGAAGATACGAGCAACCACAGTTCATGATCTTTTTTCGCAACTGAAATGCAAAGAACACTCGTCGAACACGTCTTGTATACCATGTACTGTGCACATTCCGGGAGTTTCAAAGATGAGAAGCCATGTTCCTTTGTCTCCTGAAGCTCAGGGCTAGCGGATGCCACAGATACCAAGAGAGGGGGTGAAAGGGAAGTCCGTGCAGAGAATCAGAGCTGAGAAGCAGAGTCGTTCTCTCATCGGATGCTTGAATTTTACAGAGAAAGACTAAGGCAGTTTCTCCTAGCGCTGCCATTCAGGGGCTGCTGACACCCAAGGGACCCTTCTGCGTGGGCTGCATACTCCTCAGCTCAGAAGGCCACTAGAGCCACCGAGGAACACCAGAGGACCTTCTCAAGGCCCGACTCCCCCGATGCAAGGTCTCTGTTTGCCAGCTAGGTAGAGAAGCTTTGTGGGCTAGTTTCTGGAAGAATATTCCAGAGTCACCATTTGGCGGTGGGATGCCAGTGTAGATTGTGCTTTTCCTAAGAGGAAACACGGTCCCTTCACCTTGAACAAATTCACCTTCGAAGGCAGGAGGTGGTGAATAAGCGTTTCCACAATTTCTGTGGGTCAGAGTTCAAGGAGGCTGGCTCTGGTGGGAAGTTGCCCATGAGAAAGCAGTCATCAGAAGTTCCTTCCCACGTGTTTCTCCCTGTGGGCGGCATGGGTGTCCTTAGACGATGGCGGCGGCTGCCTTTCTCCTTCTGGAGCTGGAGTGAGACAAGGATGCCTGCTATCACTACTTCTTTCTTCTTCTTTTTTGAGTTGGGATCTACTCTGTCACCCAGGCTGGAGTGCAGTGGCATGATCACGGTTCACCATAGCCTCGACCTCCTAGATTCAGGCAATCCTTCTGTTTCAGCCTCTGAAGTAGCTGGGACTACATACAGGCTTGTGCCACCACACCTGGCTAATGTTAAAAAATTTTCTGTAGCGACGAGGTCTTGCTGTGTTGCCCTGGCGGTCTTAAACTCCTGCCCTCAAGCAATCCTCCCGCCTCAGCTTCCCAGAGTGCTTTGATTACAGGTGTGAGCCACTGTGCCTGGGCTTAGAAATGTTTTTGTTTTGTTTAATTTGCATTTCTAAACATACGGGAGATCTTAATTTTAGTTTTGTTACTGATTTATGATTTTATTCTATTGCATGGAGAGCACAGTCTGTGTGATACCGATTCTTTCACAATTCGTTGAGACTTGTGGCCTAGGAAATGGTTTTAGTAAACATTCGAGGTGAGCTTGGAAAGAATGTGTAATGTCTAATTTGGGGATGTCCATTAAATCAGGCTTGCTCAATTTTTCTACATCTGTCCTGAATTTGTCAATTCCAGTGAAAAGTGGCATGATTTATCATGGAGAATGCTGTCATTTGTTAATGTTCCCTTTTCCTGCCGCGTTTTGGTTTTATATTCATTTCAGGGTCTGTGAATGGGCAGGTGTGCATGCGTGCAGCACAGTTAACGCTTCGGAATCAACGCTTCACCATGGTGCTGCCACCGCTTTCAGTCCTCGTCATGATTTTGCCCTGAGACCTACTCTGTTCAATATCGCCGTATGCCCTCTAGCTTCCTTGAGACCAGGTGTGTCTCTTTCCATCTGTATCACTTAGGGTTTGGTGGCTGGCCACAGAGCTAGTCTAGCTACTTAAGTTTCAAAAATAAAGTCAAGGGATTTATGATCAGGTATGGATGACTTAACGATCTTAGGAACAGCTGGAGGAACAACTCCCAGTCCCCGAATCTACCACCTCTCCTGGGATCAGGAACAAATCCTAGCCTCAAAATGTAGACAAAACACAGCCTGTCCCCTATCCCCCACACAAGGCCAAGCACCCCCTGCCCCGCCAGGCTGTCTGCACCGAAACCTCAGCCACCACCTGCCTCTCTGCCGGCCCACACCCCACTAAGGAGCTTGAACCTGCCGGCCAACTGCCTGTTCACCATCCCCGTGGGCCGCACCTGTCCCCCTTCTGTGCTGCCTCTCTCCATCAATCTGTCATCGATCTGCTTATCTATCAGTCTGTCACTTGTCAATCATCTGTCAGTCCTCTACCAGCCTATCTGTATCACTGATCTATAACCAATCATCTATCAATCTCTCCTCCTACTATCTTCCTACGTATCATCTGTCCATTTCTCTGTCATCTACCTCTCTGTCTTGTCTATTTATCCATCAGTCATCTATCGGTCGGGCATGGTGGTGCACGCCTGTAGTCCCAGCTACTCAGGAAACTGAGGCAGGAAGGTTGCTTGAACCCAGGGGTTTGCGTCCACCCTGGTCAACATAGTGAGACAATGTGTCTAAAAAATAAATATGTAATCTATTATCCCCCACCTTCATCTGTCATCTCTGTCAGGTATCAATAGCTCACCTACCTATTAATTATCTATCACCTATCAATACATCATCCATCTATCTAGTATCTACCAATCACCTGTTCATTTATATATCTATCTATGCATCAATCATATATCATCTACCTATTTAAGGGGAAATTCACATGACATAAAATTAATCTCTTTAAAGCCTACAATTCAGTGGCAATTAGTAAATTCGGTGTTGTGCAACCATCATCTCTATAGTTCTAGAATGTTCTCTCCACCCTAGAAGGAAACCCTGTCCCCATCAAGTAGTCCCTCGTCACTTTCCCCCACCCTACTCCCCCAGCCCCCACTGATCTGCTTTGTGTGTCTGTGGACTGGTCTGTTCTGGACATTCCATAGAAATGGGACCACACGACATGTAGCGCTCTGTGTCTGGCTTCTTTCACTGAGTGTGAAGTCCTCAAGGTCCATCGGTGCCCTGTTCTGGCTGAATCCTGTTCCACTGTGTGGACAGCCGCAGTTTGTCTGTCCATCCACCGATGGGTGCTACAATGCCCCCACCTTTCACTGCCGGGAACACTCAAGCACGAAGGTCTGCTGGAACAGCTGTGCCCAGTTCCCTGGGCCCTGACGCCAGGTGGGGTGCCCCACTCCCGCCCTCCAGCCCTCCACACGGCCTGCTTTAAGACAAACTCCACGTGGTTTCCCTGTTGCTGCAAACTCTTTAGTGGCCTCTTGTGGCCACTGGGAAAGTCCAGGCTTCTGGCGTGGTTGACAAGGACTGCTGGCCCAAGCCCTCCCTTCCCCTGCACATGACATCTGTGCCGTCTCGCTGCAGATTCACCTTAGGCCTTTGCACAAGCTGCTCCTTCTTACCAGCACTCAAAGCCCCTTGTGTGTCGGCTTTGACATCACTTCCTCTCGCTGGCCTGGCCACTCCCTCCTCGGGGCACCCTCACCCCTACTCTGCAGAGGCTCTGGCTTTGCATAGAAGCTCTCTCAAAGGTCTCTGTGCAGGGACTGGGCTCAGAGTCTCCTTCGGGCTGTCCTACCTCCGTGTAGGTCCGTCTACCACGTGGACCCCAAGGGCATTTCACTCCCGAGACTCCCAGAGAACGCCCGACCCACCCCTTTGGGAACCATGGGGCATGGCTGCGGTGACTTCCCCCAGGGGCCTGGGGGTTGGGCCCACTCCTTTCTCAAGCTCACCCTTCCCCCTCGTGTTCCCCCCAACCTCCACCAGGCCCTGAGGCAGGGAGGCGGGACTGCATTTTCCATGGGAGGCGTTTACTGAGGGACGGAGGGTGGCGCCCAGCACAGGGGCCGAGGGCCTGGGAAAGGCACACAGTGGCGGTGGGGTCTCCCTCGACGAGGGCTGCTCTGCAGAGACAGCTACCCCGGCTGACCCCTCTTTGGCACTGAGCTGGGAACTTGGCGCCCTTGCTCCTGGCTGGCAAGCAGAGGCTCATGTCCCCAGTGGCAGCTGGCAGTGTAGGCTGGCGGGATGGCGGCTGGCTGGGCCGGGCTGGCACCGGAGGGAGCCGGGTCCCGCAGGACTTGGAGGCTGGGCCACTGCACTGCTGGCAGGTGCTCGCACTGGCAATCAAGATGGCTACAGACAGGGGGTGCAATAAATTAGGCTGTGAGAGAGGGCGGGGCCGGGGCAGAGGCTACATTCTTCTCATGGCGCCGCAGGCGAGGTTGTGCAGTTCCTTCTCCGGAGGGCTCTTCGGGGCAGCCGGTGGGGGGAGGACGCAGGCAGGGGTCTGTCTACTGGGTCCTTCTGGCTGCTTCTATGGCAGGAGGGGCACCCTGCGGGCCAGGAGCCACAGCCGGCCACCCTGCAGGTGGCCCGTGGGGTCCTTGAGGGACCGGAGAGGAGGGAATGGTGGGGACTTGGGTCTCAGGAGGGAGGTGGCTCCCACACGCCAGGCTGGGCACCACCTGAGCCCCGAGCTCCCTCCTCAGAGAGAACGCAAGGGCTCCGCCCTGAACAGGGCCCAGTGACCATGGAGCAGCACCGGGCGCGGCGCCACCTTCCCGTCCACCTGCCTAGGGGCTGCTGGCGTCTTCTGGGGGCCAGGCCGGTGGCCAGGAGGCCCGGGAGGAGGGGCAAGGCATGCGGGCGGCCCAGGGCAGGGCGGATTCGGGGTGGGCGTGGCTGCTTCCTTCATGTGATCGGAGCTGGGGACGGGAGGGGCCGAGGGGGAGCCCCTGTCAGGTGGAGGCACCCGGGGCGACACTGGGGCCTTGCAGGCCGGGCGCTGGTGACTGCCCGGGGGCCACAGCCTCGCCCAGGATCTGGCAGAGCTCCCGCAGGCGCCGCTGCATCTTGGGAATACCCGCCAGCTGCTGCTCCAGCCGCTGCTTCTCCTCAGTCAGGCTCAGGCGGGCGGCTGAGTCCAGCTTCTGGAACTTCCAGCCGCCCTCCCCGTCGAACTGCAGCAAGTGTGTGTGGTACTTCCTGGCCGGGAGAGGGACGCGGCGCAGAGGCTGCTCATCAGGCGCTGCCAGCTGGGCCGCCAGGTCACCCCACCCTCCTCCTCTGACAACTGCTCCCCCCAACTCCAGGGCGGGAGGGGAGAGGGGCGCCTACCACAGCGAGGGCCGGTGGGTGATGGAGAGCAGGGCGATTCCCGCGTCCTTGGCTGCCTGGAAGATCTTGCCTTCTACGTCGATGCTCACAGCGCTGGTGCACTCATCCAGGAGGGCGTACTTGGGCCTTGGGGTTGGGGCCGAGTAGGAGAGTCACCGGACCCTCCACGGCCTGACACCCCAGCCAGGGCTGCTTTCCCCCTCCAGGCGACCCCAGGGACCGCCACGGTCAGGCAGGCCCCTCGGCGCCAAGCCCAGCCTCCCGGGCCTGCTGCTGGCAGGGCTCACCTGTGGTAGAACATGCGGGCCATGCCGATCCTCTGCTTCTCGCCCCCTGACAGGACATCCTTCCAGTCACACACGGCCTCCCAACCTGGGCGGGGCAAGGGCTCTGCTCAGTCCAACAAGGACCAGGACGGGGGCGGGGCGGGCCCAGGACTCTCGGGAGCTGGGGAGCAGGTCAGCTGGGAGACGGCGTGTGCCTCCCTGGGCACGTCCAGCTGCTCGGTGTCCTTGCCTGTCTGTGATAAGAACTGAGCAGGAGGCGAGTTGGAACTGTGCCCCTGCAGAAGGTATGTTGGAATCCTCAGCTGGTACCCCAGAATGTGGCCTTATTTGGAGACAGGCCTTTACAGAGGTGACCCAGTTAAGATGAGGTCCTCAGGGTGGGCCCCGATCCAATATGCCATGTGTTCTCATAAAAAGAGGACATCTGGACCCGGAGACATGCGAGAGGGAAGACGATGGGAAGAGACCCAGTGAGAAGGACAGAGGCCAGAGCACATCTTGCCTTCATAGCCTCAGAGGGAGGCCACGCCTCGCCCTCGGACTTCCGGCCTTCAGAGCCACGAGGCAACCGCAGCCCCAGGAAAGCCACATGGGACCCAGCGGGTGCTGCTGAGGGGGCAGCCAACAGCCTGGCACACAGCCCCAGGGATGCTGGAGCAGGCCCAGCACCCCGGCAAGGCTAGGTGGGCTGCTCAGGTGAGCAGGTGAGTGGACTGACTCATCGGCCGGTGCGGCAGAAATGGTTCTTCCTCTCGCATCATCCAGCCTGCCTTCCCACATGACTAGAAGTCTTGGTGGGGCCCATGGCCGCCCAGAATACAGATCACACTTCTTGGCTCACCTTGTGGGGAAGCGTGACCATGTGACTAAACTCTGGCCAACGAGGTGTAAGTGCAAGAGTTCAATATGGTAGCTTCGGAAACTTCCTTAAAAGACAGACGGCAGGGCTGGGTGCGGTGGTTTATGCCTATAATCCCAGCAGTCTAGGAGGCAGAGGCCAGAGGACTGCTTAAGCCCAGGGGTTCGACACCAGCCCTGGCAACTTGGAGAGATCTCGTTTCTATAATAAATCAAAAAATTAGCTGGGTGGGGTGGCACGTGCCTGTGGCTCCAGCTATTTGGAAGGCTGAGGCGGGAGGATTGCCTGAGTCCAGGAGGTCCAGGCTGTGGTGGCTGTGAGGATGCCACTGCACTCCAGCAGAGAGACTCTGGCTCCAAAAAAAAATAAGACTGATGGCACATACCTGTTGCCCCTTTGCCCCCACTTCCTCCATCCTATGGCCTGGGACATGGATGTGATGGCTGCAGCAGCCATCCTGAATCATGAGGTAACTTTGGGGTTGGAGGCCACATACAGCAGAATGACCTGGTAGAAAAGCCTGGAGCCTTCAGAGGGCAGGACCAGCCCCACCAACTGTGGCCTGCCTCTCTTGGGACTTTTACAGCACAGCACGATGCACTCATGAATGGTTTAAGCCACTGTTTTGGGGAGCTGAAGTTCTGTTACCCACATCTGAACCCAACCCTCACAGGTCATGAGGGTCAGCCAAAGGCCCTGGACATTCAGGGCACCACAGAGGGCAGGAAGGGGTACAGTCCCGGGCCCAGGGCAGCAGAAGGATGAGCAGTAAGGAAAGGCCCAGGGCTGCTCTGCTGGCCTCGTCACCTCTGTCCCCCCTTTTCTTTTTCTTTTTTTGTGAGTCGGAGTCTCACTCGGTTGCCCAGACCGGAGTGCAGTGGCCGTTCCCGGCCACCGCAGCCACGACCTGCTGGGCTCCGGCGATCCTTCAACCTCAGCCTTCCAAGTAGCTGGAACTACAGGTGCGCGCTACCATGCCCGGCTAATTTTTTTTTTTTTTTTTTGATTTATTGTAGAGATGAGGTCTCGCCAAGTTACCCAGGCGGGTCTCGAACCCGCGGGCTCAGGCAATCCACTCACCTCAGCCTCCCAAAGGCGCGGGATTACAGGCTGAGCCACCGAGCCCGGCTTACTTCTTAATAAAATACTAACTCCTCAACCTGGCATTCAAGATTCTCCACTATTAAGCCCCAGTTTATAGTCTTCAGTATCATCTTCCATTTCAGACTTGAAGGCACAAGCTTTACCTGTACAATCATTCATCACCACCACCTATTTTTTTTAACTTATGACCCTTTAATATTTAAGCTATTACTTTTGCATGGAGTATTTAGTTCCCTATACCTGAAAGATTTATTCATTCTTCAAAGAAAGCCCAACGAATGAGTTAGAACATGTGGTACTGAGTTTTTCGCTTCTGCGATAGATCCAACAATTCCATTTTTAATGAAGCATAATGCCCGTCCCACACACAAATTCGGGTAGCATGTCTATATGCATTTGAAATAAAACCAGGCAGCATTAAATATCACAATAACCTTGTCTAGAATATGCAGGCATCAGATTTAATTCTTAGGACATTTCAAATTGGTCATATAGCTTGTTTTGGTTTTCCTCAAATATTGATGTTCTTGACTTTTTTCATGTCAAGCACCCACAGAAAATTATTGTATTTGCACAACTTCCTTGTGTATGTGACCAAGGCAGCTTACATCTTGCGTCCACTGAGTTTAGGGGCTCATGTCACCCCAGGCTCTGACCCATCTTCCCAAGGGCTGAAGGAGTAAATATCTGGTCTTGTTACCTGTTCTTAGCACATAAATTGGGAAGCTATGCTATACCTCATTCAGCCTTCATTCTGGATGGAGCATCAACCACTGAAGGAATTTTTTAAAGGAAAAACTGTCTTGTAGGAAGGAATGTAATATGTCCCCCAAGATTTTCATCCCCCTTCTGCATATGCCTTGCATAATCACTAGGACTATGAAGATAAGGAATTTTACTCCTATGATTATGTCATATCATGTGGCACAGCTGATTTTAAGATAGAGAAATAATCTAGTGGACCTGTCCTAATCACATTAGTGCTTTAAAAGTAGAGTTTTCGCTGGGCGCGGTGGCTCAAGCCTGTAATCCCAGTACTTTGGGAGGCTGAGGCAAGAGGATTGCCTAAACTCAGGTATTCTAGACCAACCTGGGCGACTTGGTGAGAACTCGTCTCTATGATAAATCAAAAAATAAGCTAGGTGTGGTAGCACGTGCCTGTAGTTCCAGCTACTTGGATGGCTGAAGCAGAAGGATCGCCAGAGCCCAGCAGGTCAAGGCTGCTGTGGTCACGAGCATGCCACTGCAACTTCAGCCTGGGCGACAGAGTGAGACTCTGACTCAAAAAGTAAAGTAACATAAGATAAAAGTAGAGTTTTTCCAACTGGGAACAGAAAAAGAGAAAGATGTGCTCCATCTGGCCTGGAATAAAGCAAATGCCCATGTTGTGAATTGCCAATGGAGGGGGCAGCCTTTGGAGCTGAGAACATTGAATTCCCCAACCAACAGCTAGCAGAAAGATATAGACCTCTGTCCTACAACTACAAGGATATGAATCTTCCAACAACCTGAATGAACTTGGAAGTAAATTATTCCCTAGAGTCTCCAGAGTGAAATGAAACTTGGCCAACATCCTGATTTCAGCCTAGTGAGACCCTGAGCAGAAAAATGCCATTACACCACTCCTGGATTTCTACAGAAATGTGAGGCAATAAATTAGTGTTCGTCTTAGCAGCTAAGTTAGCGGTGATTGACTACATAGCAATAAAAAAACTAATATAGTTTCTTTCCCTGATGAGTTCAGATCTATAGAGAAGACCTTCTTAGAGATAAACCTGTGAAAATATGACCTGTAACTGAGCAATGCTGTGGTTACTTTATGGAAGTTGACAGTGAGCGACCTTAACAAGGCTTTATGTAACTAC